ATCAGAACACAGATTATGCAATAAATATAAAAACAGATACTTCAGAGTTTCAAAACAAAGTATTTACATTTATAAGATTTTCAATTCAACTTGTTGGATTTTTTCCCTGTTCTTTGTTATTTTATTGAATTTATTGTTATTCAATTACTATCTATTTTCCATGTGCATGTTTTGCATGTAATAAAAAAAAGAGAAAAACTGACCTCAGTAACTTTTTTTTTTTTTTTTTACATATATAGTTTGATTCTACACCAGCTCCAGCTTAAATTTAAACCCTCAAACTGAAGTCTTGCTATGGTGAAGTAATATATTTGGCCTCTAGAGGGGCTTCAAGCTAAAGGTTCTATTGCTGCTTTTGGTTTCCAGGTGAAACACAAATTTCAATCTCAGCTCTGTAAATAGAGACATGGAGCAAATAGAAGTCGTGATTTAAGCCAGTTGGCCTGGGATGATTTGCACAGAACGGCCAGCTGTAGTTGGCTGTGTTTTATCTCCTTATAGGATTTTTTTTAATATATATTGAAGACTAATCTCTTTCTTTTCACTAAAAAGGAAAACTATCTCAACAGTTGCTAATTTTGTTCTGCTCCAACTAAATCAGAGATAAATATTTCCTTTTCCTAGAATGCCACACCTTATTTCACAATAATCATTGCCAGTTTGCATTACAAACAACAGAAACATCTTACATTAAGTAATAACTCCTGCAAGATTTAAAAGTGATTGTTTCAGTTAAACTGAGGACAGAAACGTTACCTGAACAGGTTTTTCTTTCTCCCCTCTGCATGTGTGTTTCAAAGTACTGTAATGCAACCTGCTTCAGTAGTGTTTTGGCTGACGGGCCTTCTCACTGATCCTGCTCTGCAGCAATCAGCTTCCTCTCCTACACCTGCTCTCAGCAGCACCTCAACCAAACGCATTTACTGTACCCATTTTGCTGCCCCAGTCTCTTGCTGGCTGGACCTGAACCAACCTGGATGTTTTTTTAGCTACTGTTCTTGCTTTTGCATTTGTACCTGTTCATCCATCCTCTGGTCTGTCTACATGTGCTGCCTTCTGCTCCTCTCTGGACATTACCTCCGTGCACCAGGATTCTGTTTATGTATTTATTAAGCTTTTTAAAAGCACAACACCATGTTTAGCTTGAATATCAAGGTTCCCCTAAGCCAAATGTTACAAGTACTTCACAATTCAGTTAATAACCAATAAAGACTATGATGTACATTTGGATTCAAAAATCAATACCAGATAGATTCCACTTTTAAAATAAGTTTCTTTTACTTCCCACTTCCAGGGATGAATACTTTTATCCATTTCTCTTTGCATAATGGAGACGATCTATAAAAGTCATTTTTGCCGAATATTCTCAGTTGCATTTATATGTATCGGGACTTTGACTAGGCCATGTTGACATATGGGTTGTGTTTGATTTTAAAGGCTGCATCCTCCAAGAAGGTGGTCTATCTGGACTGGATCCTTCAAGGTCCATGAAAATAAGGAGAGCAGAAGAGATTTGGCTGTGAATTCAAACTGGTCCAGCCTTCCGCAGCTTTCCCCGCACATACAATCTGTCGCTTAGCAACCGTGAGAGACGACACACATAGCAGGAAAAGAATGAATACCGAACTTTTCAAAACTGTTTCTTTTTAATTTTTTTTCTTTTTTTTTATTGTAAAGTGAACAAAGACTACACTCATGAGAATATAGAGTGGAATAAAACCCCACTGAAATATTAAGTGTGCACCCTCAATACGCCAGCAGGTAACCAGGAACAGCTTGTGTGTTTTAAGTTAATGGACCGCTAATTTAGGGCTCAGCGCGAGTGTATTGATCCTCACAAGCACAGTATAATAGGAATGTTTAAGTGACGAGGTGGATTCGTCATAGTCACAATAACCATGACATGAAATTTTCACATATCCTACAACAGGGATGTTCTTCTGGCTAACGGGTAGATAAATAAGGATCTCACCAAATTTGGTGGAAGCTGTATCTTGCTCGTTACATTCGCCATTATCCCTCTAATTGTCTGCACCTGCGCATTGGGTGCAGAAGCCTGTTAAAGGGCAGTATTTTCAGCGCCCCAAGACCATAAAATTCTGAGACGCTGACTGGCCATTAAATTATTAAATTCACCTAGCAATAGTACATGATTGGCAGATTCTCTGCACATGTGGGGCAGTCTAATCAGAGCCCCAAGACAGAGACGGTAGGAGTCTGTCTGTGGAAATCCACAAATTAATGACAGTAGGTACGGAAATGTAGTTTATATATTTTGTTTTGCTTATAGGTACCCACTCTAGAGAGTAAAACTAACATTTATGAGTTAATTTGTAAAAATATATTTTAAGTTTCTCTCTTCTTATCAGGGAGGGCGGTGCCCCAGCGGCCCCTATGGGCCGGCTGCCACTGCCCTCCACATATCTGACTGAATAATCATTAAAAAAAAATTTTTTTTGTTCATTTCAGATGGAACTTTTCACATACTTGTGTTATAATAAACTGCACTTCCAATATAAACCACTGTACCCTTTTCCTCTGATCATGGAGCAGCTTCCTTACATGGTCTCGCAATGAATCCTGGGATATCCAAGGCTACATATGTCAGCTGCATNACTGGTACAAGCAGCAAAAATGAAGCAGCAGACGCGATTTTGCTGCTTTTGCTGCCCCCGGTGTGAACGCAGCATAACATTTATGATTTAATTTGTAAAAATATATTTTAAGTTTCTCTCTTCTTATCAGGGAGGGCGGTGCCCCAGCGGCCCCTATGGGCCGGCCGCCACTGCCCTCCACATTTCTGACTGAATAATCATCAAAAAAACATTTTTTGTTCATTTCAGATGAAACTTTTCACATACTTGTGTTATAATAAACTGCACTTCCAATATAAACCACTGTACCCTTTTCCTCTGATCACGGAGCAGCTGGCTTACATGGTCTCGCAATGAATCCTGGGATATCCAAGGCTACATATGTCAGCTGCATGATGAAGAGTCTTGGAATACGACCAGACCTCGGTGCCACCCTATGATGTAATCGGCCTACAAATCTAGCTATCCCAGGATGAATCCCATGAATTCGAAATTATTCAGCTTTTATCTAAACCATTTTGTTGCAGCCCTGATTGAACATTAAGGGTTGTAGTCCTGCTGAAAGGCTGACCTCTATCTACAGAGTGGATGGTATTGTGAAGCCTTACTCAGCCCCAGACCAAGTGATTTGTATTGAAAAGAAAAGGTTTCATATTAGCTTTATCGGATCAGAGACTTCCACATTTCACTGAAGAAAACGATGTATGGCTTTTGTTCAACAATGGCTTTTCTTCTTGGAAAATTTTTGAAGATATCACAATTCTTTGAATGTGTGATTTAAAAACTGAAATATGACTTCTCTAAAACTTTCTTCCTGACCTGTCTGCTGGGATTTATTTTTTTTATTAAAAAAGTGTTTTAATAATGTTATTTGAGAAACATCTGAACTATTGAAAGAGGGTACCTGTTTCTGTACTGCACACACTGCAAAAAATAGAAATCTAAATAAGTAATTTTTCTCTTAAAATAAGTGGTTTTTTTTTTCTTTAACCTCTTAACATCCACCTCATTTCGGGTAATCCTAGCCTATTTTCTATACCCAAGTGGAAAAGCAAATAACTTACCTGAACTGTAAACCCAAATTACATGTGCAATCATTATTTGAAAGCTAACACCATCTAGTTTCTAAAATTTATAAATCAAAATTGGGTAAGTATGCACCAGTTCAAACATGACTCAAAGTTGTTGTTTTATATTCTCGAAAATGATAGGTCTTTTTTGAACAGCAGTAATAAAGACATTCCTAAGAAAAAGCAGGTTTCATTGTATTATATTTGTTCTACATCATGTCCGGTGGAAACCCGGTGGGTTTTAAGAGGTTAATTGAGCAGGTAAGTAAGACACTTTGCCAATGGAACAAGAAAATTGACATTTAAAATAGGAAAAAAAATTGTCTTATTTCAATTCCAGCATATCAGTGCATATTATCTAATTATCTTATTTTAGGAATAAAAATACAAATTCTATTGGCAAATTATCTTATTTTCCTACTTAAATTAAGGGTAAATACAATTAATTTAAGAATGTTTTACATATTTCTGGATCTTTTTTGCACTGTATAGTAAGTGCACTGCAAAAACGATCTAAATATGAGTACAAAATACTTAAAATAAATGTAATTTGAGTAGGTAAATAAGATAATCTGCAAGTGGAATGAGCATTTTACCCTTAAATTAAGATAATTAGAATTAATTATTAAAGAAATAATTAATTAGTTGAAATAGGAGACTGCAGTTTTTTTTTTTTCATTTTTTTAATGTAAATTATTGTATTTCATTGGCACAGTTTCTGATTTACCTGCTCGATTGAAGAGAAAAAAAAGCTCTTATTTTAAATACTACTTACTTTAAATTACTTAACTTAGATTTCATTTTTTTGCAGTGTAGTATCAGAAGCTGTAAATTTGGCCTTACTCCTAACTAAGCGCATGTTGGGTTCATTTTCTTTATCCAAGAAAAAAAAGGTACTGATAGAAACAATAATTAATGGAGTTCATGCTTTTTAAGGAGACAGGGCAGAACAACAGATTAGAACAGACATAGCTACCACACAGGAATCTGATGAAGTTTCCAGTAACTGTGGAGATTTGCTTTTGGTTAAAAGCACCACAGACTGAAACTTCACTAAGGTTCTTCTCATAGTTGTTGAGTGTGATTTCCTTCTGTTTCCAGGGTTCAACCAAACCTTTGAAATAAATGTTTCATCCACTGTCTACACTGCTGTGCAAGGCATAAGCCATTGTTTGGTTCAACATCCAGCTCTGTTTGTTTTCCATCATAACACCCTCCCCATCTCTTCCCTCCATTTGCAGCAGGAGACCTGTGTAATTACATCCAAGGCGTTCTCCTCTCCCGCACGCTTGATATCACCGCTGACATCCACATGCACAGCTCCCTCCTCTTCCTCTCTCCCTCTCTTTCTCTCTCCATCTCTCTGCATCTCTGTTTATTGGAAAGCTCTTGTGCTGCCACTGTGCGGTCCTGCTTCATCATGTGTATAGTGTTTCGGAGCAGATGGGGAAGCAAAGGAAGGGGCAGAGATGAGAAAGGAGGAGGAGTGTGGTAGGCAACTAGAGATGGAGATGCTCTCCACGTGAAGAGAAGTGGACTGTGGGATATTTCTTTAAAGGCTGAACTGGTGGTCTGCTCCTTCTGGTAAGTGATATTCAAATAAAAAGACTGTATTAGATAGCAGTGCAGTTTGACTAAACAGAATATGAAAGTCTCATTATCCTAAGTGGCATGCACTGTTGTTAAAAGCAAGCTCTGCTTAGAACTATAGCAGGTAATATTAAGAACCTTCCTTTAAAAGTGAGGGCTTGAAGCTCCTCCAGTCCAGCTTCAATCATTCAGTGACTTTATCAGATCCACCTGTTATCTCTGCAGCTCAGATTAGCAATGCAATCTTAGAACTGATCATTTCATCTTTGGGTGTTATTCTGGGACGGTGAAGTACTTTTAAGCTCAGACCTATAACTTACATGTAATCCACTACATAAAAAAATTATAAAATATTGGAAAGATTCAAGTGATTTTAAGGTAATTAATATTAGTTTTGGTGTGACCATGCATAAAAAAATTCCGAATAATATGAGCTTTAAAATGATGACAGTTCCTGATCAGATTTACGCAGAGAATAAAGTTTATGTTCAGCTCAGCATAGTTTTTTTGCTCTTTTATTCCTCATTTACCAATATATTAACTAAAAAAAAAGATAAAATGACATTCATTTCTTTCAGGATGTCCCTTGCTGTTCTTTGACATAAACACAAAGCCTCACTGTGCGAGAGATGTTTGCACCCACAGCTGCAGCAGTGCGTCAGACACAGTCCTCATCAGCAGAAAGCAGGTTGTTTTGTGGAACATGCAGAGACATACATGTGAAAATAAAGAAGCTCGTTTGGGATTCCTGATGTGATTGCACTAAGCAAACAGTGCTTGATTGGGTTTTGAAAATGCACTCCACTTTAAATTGATAGGGAAGCATAGCCAGCGTCTGCTGCATGTGGCTTTGTTACTACAAGCAACCAACAATCAAGGCCAGTTTATTTATTCTTGTCTCATCATATACAAAAGCTTTACATGAGTTGTATTTAAAGCTTGAAGCAAATTTTCTACGATTTGAAATTAGATGTGCAAACTTGAAAATAAAGGCCTGTTTTGTCCCTTTTCAGTGTAAAGTGTGGGCCAAAAAATAAAATATAATATCCAGTTTAATATCGACACTTATTATCTAATTTAGTTAATTTAGTTTAGACTCCAGTCAGAGTGAAATAATCTGAAATGTTTCTGTTTTAAAATTACATTTTTTTAATTTAAGGGATTATAATGGAAAAAAAATAGTCGCTACATTACATTGCAGGCTACCAGATCCTGAACTGATTCTTAGTCTTTAAAAACAAAGCCAATGAAAGTAATTTAACCTGATTCCAATTATGAAACAATTGGACTGATTGGTTTTATTTTGTTTAAGGCTGTCTATGTCATTTAATGGAGTACTTTGTAGTTTTTATCCAATTAACTAATGATTATCAATTGTTTTTGTTGTTTTTTTTTAATTAAATTTATATTTTGAAAAGCATGGGAAAAAATATCTGAAAGACACGTTTCTCTTGTCACTGTCAAATAAATGCTGATAAAACAAAAATTAAACCTTATATATACTGTATATATATATATATATATATACTGTTTCAAAGTACTGTGCTTTCTTACCTTCTCTGGAAAAAATAAGTGAAGTAATGATTGTTGATAAAATAGTTTTTGTTTATACTGAAAAATCGAAGACGAAATAGAGACTAAATCCAGTCAATCCAGGCTGAAAGGCTCATTGGCCAAGCAATACTTTTTTTTTTCTTTTGATGTAAAATATTTATTTAATTTATATTGTTTGCTTCTTTCCTACAGACGCTGACTGCCTTCACTGAAATCTACTGGAGTCTCTTAATTAATGCTAATTTCTGATGACTTGCTGATCTCATCATAAAGGATCTACAAAGATAAACAGAGCCAGCTTTCACTTCTGTTGGGGAACATGTGGGCAAATTCTCTCTGCTCCTCATAAGTCTGTTCTAACTGAACGAGCTCAGCATGAGCAATTATAATCGATTTTATATCTGTATAAAGATTAAATATCAGTGCTTTAATCTGTGATCCATCCATACCATCTCATTGGATCCATCTAAATGTGGGACAGTAGGAATGGTTTCAGTCCATCTGTTGCAATGAGCATATTTAATCCTGCAGATTTAATTCCTTGCAACCTATTCTCTGCAGCTCAGTGTTCATAATGGAAGCTGTAGAGAACTCCACAGGACTGTCCACAGCCGCCTTGGTGGCCATTGCCTGCAACACAGTTGTTGCCGTCCTCCTCCTTCTGCTCTGCCTGGTTGTTTACCGAGCCTGCGGCGTCCCTTCAAACCCAGAGAGGCTGCCTGTGTTGGTGCAGAGCGAAGCAGAAACCCAGCAGATGAACGAGCACAAGTACCTGTTGACCTCTTGACTGCAGTACGATGAGTCAAATGCAGCCACAAGTGAGGGAGCCCATTCCTGCCTCTACAGAAGCGCTGCATGTGTGAAAAAGAAAACACAAACCATGCTTCGTGGTACTTTAACCCAGCTGTCCTTTAACAAAGCTCATCCTTCGTGTGACAAAGCACGCCGCAGAATAACAAGGTGACTACAAATGGCTGCAAAACAGAATTGCCACGGCAACAAGGAGGGGTAGTAGAGGTGGGGAGAATGGTAAGTTCTCCAAGTATCATTTCGAATCAATCTCATGACATGGCTGGAAAAACCCAAAGGCTCGTCTCTGGTGAATAACTGGACCTTAGGGTTTATGTGGAGATCCTACTCGCTAACTCATCCAAACAAACCCTGCTAAAGTCTGTCTGAAAATATGTGCTCTCTTCAACGTGTCTCTCACTTTGACATCTGTGACGGTGGGCCAATCATCCTGGGCTGAGTCACAGAACGAATGACTGTAGGAGACCACTGGGACTCTACCTGCACTGCACCAAATATATTTATCCTCATACATGTAAACAGTAGATCTGATCCTGTAACTTTCCATTTAACAGCATGTAGCACCGTTTAAACGCTATTCTATGTAACTCACAGTTAACACTACTACTGAGGTTTTCCCCCCTGAGATTAAAGCTGCACCTATTGAAGTAAAAGTGATGGAAACTGATTTTGACTGTGTTGTTATTATCAATTTTGGAGTGAAATGCCCAAAAATTCAAGTCTTCCAGCACATAATCTTAAAGGGATTGTTAGAATTGTATTGCATGTGACTTTTTTAAATTCAAAAAGCAGTTAAGATTAACTTGACTACCTCTGAATTAGATCAACCAAAGGTTGGCTTATGAAACTTTTAACTCTTAGAAAATGTGTTTTTCTTTTCTTTTCAATGTAGATTTTTTTTTAATTTTCAATTTACTGTGGCTTTAGGTTTGAACTAAGCCATGAAAAAAAATGTTTATATGATAATTAACAGTCTCTTTTGTTAATATGTACACAATAATAGCATTTATAAAGATATCCAGTTAAGTAATACATATAGTCTAGGATTAGCTGAAGCAGACAGATAAACTTAGAGGCACCACTGCAAAAATGATCTAGAAACAATAAAAAACGTCTTAAACTAAATGTATTTACCCTTAATTTTAGCAGGTAGATAAGATGATTTGTCAATGGAATGAGTATGTTTACCCCTAAAAAAAGATTCTAACTTACCTTGTCAATCCGAGTACAAATTAACTTATTTTAAGAAGAAATTACTTATTTAGATTTAAATTTTTGGCAGTGCAGGAACAAAGCGTCTCCAAACAGCTCTAATCTGAAAAACTTTAAAGCAGTTTATGCAAATGCTATTCTTTAACTTTTAGACTGTTGAATTGTTTGCATTTGGTGGTTGGGTTAGTGGTAGCTGAGGATTATTTATTTTGAATAAAAGTAGAAAGTGGTGCACTATTATTTATCTTCCTGAAACGCTGGTTAAGGACAGAACATATAAAGCAGTAGTTCTCAAACTTTTTGCCTTGAGGGGCATTAACTGTCAGGTTGAAACTATTTTCAAGCTACAAAAATAGATTTCTTTTTTTTTAAAAAGGGAAAAAAACAAGCTTTAAACATTAAACAGTATGAATCATTGTGCTTAACAATCTACAAAAAAAAAAAAAGAATATTCTGAGCAGATGAGAAGTTGAGAAAAATATCCTTGTAGGTCCAAAACATAAAAATCTGTAAGTTCGAGAGATTATTATTGGTTACAAAAAGATTTCATACAGTTTTCTAATTTTTATTTTTTGGAATTAGTTTTTATTTTCTTGACTAAGAAAAGATTATTATTCAGTGTTCAGCAACAGGATTGTAATTGGGTTCAGTCTTCCTTTTAAAACACCTACTGGAATTAGCCAGCTTTATAAACAGCTGCTTTCCAAACAAATTAATATCTGCACTCCTGTTTATTGTGAGATTATGATGTAATATATGGCTGATACAGTATAAAGTTGGTACTTCGTGTTATATTGTATATTTTCCATTTAAGAAACTTAGTTAAAGACTATGCATAAAAAAGGATAAAAAATTAACAAAAATATATTATCTGCACCAATCCCCTTTCTAAGTGGGTTTCAGTGCTAATCCCTCAATCACGATATACAGTGGACTTTATAGTGAACTCAGCTAACTGACCGGTCGGACAGATGATCACTACTTTTCACTCCACGTTGGTCACGTAATTCCTCCTCCTCTTCATGGTGCCTGTCCCACCTTTTTTTGTTTTGTTGCCGCTGTCGGGTAGCGACAGCCTATGGCGACAATGGGCTGCTGTAACAACAAGTATATCCCATTCTGGGATATACCTGCTCCTCTAGTGACCATATATGATCACTACTTTTCAAGGTGAATTGTGGGAAATTTCAAGTCCTCTATTTTTTTATCCACTCGATGTTTGGACACTCATTTAAAATGGCGTAATCCCCATGTAGTGGCCTGTGAAGTAATTAGGGCAGACATTCTGACAAAGCCCTAATAATGGCTCATGGATCACAGTTTGGTCACCCGTTATATAAAGCCTTTTTACTCTGTTTAAATACCCGATAGTAAACCAGCACTAACTTTAACCAAAACAAAAGTCTTTTTTTTTCCTTTTATAGTTCTTTATTTTGTCATCTAACATTTGCTCTTTTATATTTTATTCACAGTTTGTGTTTAGACTCTAGGATCACTGGAGGGTTACCACCTCCTATCAGCGATTTGGGGGTCGGGATCGGGCTAATCGGTCAGAATATTAACCCAACGCGGCAGGGCGTTAGCGGTCGTCATGATAATTGCAATCTGAATAGTGCTGGCATTAAGGAAGAAAGAAGGAATAGAGCTCATTTAGGATAGATACTTACTCATGTTCCTATCTGGCGAGTAGGACCTATATGGTTCCCCACAATCCTTTGCATGAGAGGCTGTAGAAGCACAGTCCACCGTACAGAGTTTACATAAATACACTGATTTCACATGTTCTCTGTGTGACATATATGTTTCATAAAGGAGAGTTTCAGCCATGGGCGTAGGTTTGCATAGGGACCATAGGGACATGTCCCTACCAAAATTTTGGCCCGACCTACTTGTCCCTACCAATAATTCTATGTGAATAACATGCTTATAATTTACAATACAGTGTTGTTGCAGCAGTCGCTTCTTTTCTCACAACTTGTTTATTGAAGTTAATATTTTAAATGTTCAGTGTCAGATCCTCTTATAGTTCCCGTGCCCATGCAAATACAATAAATCTATCTGCAGTCCCTTGAATATGTTATTTTGCTTTGTTTTACAAGAGAGAGAATATCACCATATCAGATATAAAAATAAGAGTGGTTTTACCTCTGTTTGCCGCTGCACAATTCTTCAAGAGAAAACACCGGATAAATACACATACAACAGACATATTTAGACTATATTTTGTTAAAAAGGCAAATATTTACCTTCGGTCTTAGTCACTGGTAAATTCAAATGTAATGCTTTTCAAAGTGTTAAGTTGTCCCAATTTTACATTATTCTGAGCCACTGATGCTTCAAACATTGATAAAAAACATATTGTGTGTGTAGTGCTTATAAAATTTGTGTAAATGTAGCAAAAATGCTGTTTTCTCTAAGCGAAATGCGCCCTGATGCTCACTTCAAGCAGTAAAAAAAATAAGAGCATGCATAATGAGTAGGACCAATGACATCAGACCAATTCAACTTAAGACCAATAGAGTCCCTACTAAAGTTGAGATCAAACCTACGCCCTTGGCTTCAGTCATTCACTAGATTTGTACAACTTTGGTTTTTTTATTATAATTTGCGTAGAATTCTGTAGTTTTGGTTTTAATTTTCATGTATGTTGTTTTCTGTAAGAATGGAGGCCGTAGGGATTCAGCATGGCTTTCCTGGTGTTTTTTTCCACCCTGAATAGAGTTCTTGCAGTTGACCCTGCGAAAAGTGAGGAGATAGGAGCTAAGAACAGGAGGTAGGAGCTACATTTTGTCCAATTCTCAGTTAGATTGAATATTTACTGGCTTCCTTAAAAAAAATTGTTTAACAATTTCAGTTTTTACTGCCTAAACTCGATGACTGAATTTACATGTGTTACTATTGCTGTATTGTTACCTCTAATACTAATCAGATAGATATTCATCAGTGAAGAAATTTATATTGGTTAAGGCTGGGCACCCATTCGCAAAGAGACATGACAGTCGCTGGCAAAAGATATAATAGTACGGGCACAATAAGAATGTGTTTGTAAACCGATTATTGTGTTGTTTATTTTTTCGATTAATCGATTAATAATCAGCCAAAGGTTCCTTAAAGAAGATTTTTAATGAAATTAAACAGGTGAAACTAAGAGTTGAAGTTACCATAGTTCTCCTTGAAACGTTGGTGAACTGTACAGCCTAAATCAGCATAAAGCTAACTTTTTCCATTCGGTTTAGTTAGACAGTGTTGCTTGTTACCATATAATGCATAACAGTCGATCCTGTAAACATATACCAATCTTTTTGGTACAGAATTGTAGGTTTATGTGGGTTTAGTAACTTTCAATGTTGCATTGAAGCATGGCTTTTTTTTAATAAGGCAATCCAATTTCCAACATTTAAGAAATCATAGACCTCTTCACCTAAGTTAAAACTTGATCAAATACTGGATGACATGACTTAGACTGACTTAGACAAACCTTATTGTCATTTTAACACAGGGTGTATACAAAACGAAATTTAACTAGGTACAGCTCTCAAGACATTTCCATTCCTTAAAGTCCAGCAGTATTAAAATGTAAACATGGTGATCAAATGTAAACAGAAGACTGAGATATGATTTACATTTTTTTTTTGTTTTTTCTTCTGTTTTATTCAAAATTCAGCTGTCTAAAGGCAGTGGAGAAGAAGCTGTTGCAGAATCTACTGGACCTCATTGAATGCTTTGAAGCCTCTTCCAAGAGGGCAGCAGGGAGAACAGTCCACGGTGGGGGTGTGAGGGGTCGTTGATGATGTTACGGGCTTGGAACACGCAGCGCTGGGATGAAATGAGTGCAGATGATCCTCACTGCAGTTTTCACTATTCTCCTCACCTTCTTCCAGTCTGAGGCACTGCAGCCTCCACACCACACGGTGAGACAGCTGGTCAGAACGCCCTGTATGGTGCTTCTGTAGAAGGTGGTGAGGATGGGTGGGGGCAGGTGGGTTCTCCTCATCCTCCTCAGGAAGTACAAGTGCTTTTGTGCTCTTTTGATCAGTGAGGTGGTGTTTACAGTCCAGGTGAGGTTGTCTGTGATGTGCACCCCCAGGAATTTGATGCTACTGACCACCTCTACTGCTGAGCTGTAATGGTTACATCTGCTTTGTCGAGGTTTTTTGACATATGGCGGCTACCATTATATGTGTTTGAGGCAATGACATGCTGGGGTATCATTTTTGTTTGAGTAAAATACCCCATTTCACCAATACATGACAGTTATTCTTACACAGTATCCCTCTAAAACAATCAATGGAAACATGGAAACAATGAATATGGAAGGAGTTAGTCTATAACCTTTAAAAAATGCCTAATTTCAACAATTTCATGTAGTTTTACTTATTCAGATAGTACAACATATGATTCTGATTAATACAATAAGGGGAACCAATATATGCTAAGTGTTGTCAGTCACATATTCTAAAACATATGCAAGAAAAAGAACACGTAGCAAGCATCTTAATTTAAGCTTGTGAAATTTTTTAAGGAAAGAATAATTAAGTGCTGAATGTGAACACTGGAGGACATGAAAGGAAGAAAAACTCCCAGAGGCAGAGAGATATTTAAAGTAAGGAGCGCTGTGGAAACAGAGCCCATGGGTGCTTCTTTACTGAATGACCTGATTATTAAAACAGGGAGGAAACAAAGACAAAATAAAGATGTTTCAAAACAAAATCCTTCCTGCAAATTGTGAAATGAAAAGCTTCCAGATCATCTCTGGATCGGAGCCTGAAACAGCGTGTTCAAGCCAAGATAAGCTGCCTGGCTGTCGTCCACAAGTGCGTAATCTTTTACGACGATTTATGTCCCTGCTCACTTGCTACTCTCTGTCTTCCTCTTTAGCTTGGTGGAATCTTACAGTACATGTTAACCATGCTTAAGAATCCCCTGCAGATAAGCTCTGCTTAGTTGTACTCTTTGTATCATGGCCTAATGTACTGTGAATGAAAAGAGGAGTCAGGAACACTCTTCAGAGTTTGATGAATTTGACCACACTACAGTATCCCACAGTGGCTACATATTTGTAAGAATTAAAAGATGCTTTATTGGACTGAGATCTGGTGATTTTGAAGATCACTTGGGAAAATGAAGTCATCCTTTTTAATAAACCAGCTAGAGATCACACACATTTTGTGAGACAGTGTTATCCTGTTAGAAGTAGCCACTGATGGCTTGAGGAAAAGGGACTGACAGGGTCAGCAACAATACTCAGGTAAGCTGAGGGGCTTAATCAATGATCTGTTTCCTTTCAGAGTGTACCAACAAATATGGTACAAGCGATTGATATTAACCAGAATGGATCCGTGCTTTCATTTCAATTTCATCTGAATGTCACAGCTAAAGAGAAAACCATCTCAGCATTTTAAATATGTTATTCTCCATTATAAACCCATCTGTGTGAACTATAGCTTCAGTAACCAGAACCTGGACGACAAATTGGCCTTTTTGCTTGAAGGCCCAACATTTTGTGCGTTTGAAAATTCTGCATATTTTGGTTGTAAGCAGTGGCTATTTGAGCTACTATTGTCTTCCTATCAACTCAAACCAATTTATCTATCAACCTTTGACAAATCATTTTTGTCCTTGTTTATGCATAAAGGTGCCATTAAAAAGGTAGTTTATTTCTGGTGTTGACTGGAGTGGTGGCATAAAATGTACTTGCATAGGTACTGGCGAAAATGGTGATATGGTCTATGTGCCTGGACATAATGTCATGAATAGAGGTGGAGGTTTCAGCAGTTTTTATACCCTTGTTCTACTAGGGTATAAAAAGATCCTTGGGTTCCAGCTTCTGATAAAATAACCAGGTCATATAGTTATAAAGGACTTGGCTCGGGGAAAAGGCTTGACGGGGAAAACTGTTCACTCCAGTCTTTCACAGTCCTCACCACAAGCATTTTTGATGTGCTCATTGTCGCGAATGACATTTTGAAATAAATGCAACATCTTGATGTACAAGGCAGATCATTTCCTTTGGTCAAACAATACACAAATAAACATCACTCCTTCAAAATCATTGTCTGTGCCTCTTAAGATTTTGTTGAAGTAAAAATTGTTACAGAAACATGTCTTAGTCATAAAAACTATACTGAGATACTGTGTAACTACTGCAACGACGACGCATATGAAGGACATTATGGGAAAGGTTTAGATTTTTTTAGCTGTGTGCTTTTTTTCTGACTCACTTTTATAGTGTTGGTTTACATCACACTCCCCTCGTATCAAATTGAGTCCTACATTTGGCAAAACTCACAAAAAGCTCCTTGAGAGTCACTTGTCAGTGGCATCACTTATTTAAAGAAACCGCTCTGCAGTCTTTGCTGTGTTTTCTTTTCTTTAAACGTAGTTTTCAATCATAATTTGTCTAAAAGTCCTTTACATGTCCTTTACAAGAGCTTGGTTGTGATGTGAGGCTATGGTGAAACTCTATGTCGACAACTGCAGCTCTGCTTTGTTCCCATTTAGGAAGAGCACCTGTGATTTTATTCTTTTTTTTAAAAACTTTTTTCTAATTTGACTCAGCCAAAAATTAGACGATGCGTCAATCTCTGGGACGGCCCACAGTGAAAAATGTAGCACTGTATCTCATAAATTGGGACATCTGGTCAATCTACCAACAGATTTCGTTCCCATACACTTCTGGCCAAAATCTTACAAATCCCAATGTAAGTTGGTTAATGAGGAGGAGAGTGAGAAAATAAGCACAGACTGTTTCTGCATCCAGCATCCATTCAAAATGCACCAACTGAACAATGCTACTGACCAAACTAACTATAGTCATTGATGTAAGCTGTTATGGGTTCCACTCCCACCCTGTTGACATTCGCTCCATGTTCACCCTCTCTTCCCATCCATCCCGTTCCAGTCTACATAAATTAAAACAAAAAGGCTTTTTTGCCATGTTTATTTTATTTGTACAAACCTGGATCCAACATATCCATAAAAAAACTGCAATGATTGCAGTAAGTTGTCTTAAGCTATATCACTGTCAGGATTTGGTTTTGAGGTTTTTGTTTGGACCCAAAAGCAGAAGCTGAGAGGCAGAGGTGAGTTCTTGGAGGGTTTAATG